ATAGTTTTCTATATTTAAACAATTATCAATAAGATTAAGAGTCATGTTAGCAGAAACAAAATCAATAAAAATTAAAAATTAAAAGTTAGAATTCTTTATAAATGTATATGAACATATGGTTGATTGTGTATTATTAATCTTGCAACACTTCTTTATACATCACATTTGATGTATAGTTCACTGCCGTTGAATATTTTCGTTAGACTTTATTTTTCTTGGATGAGCTAACTCATGCGGTAAAGTTCTTGGCTCTCTGGTTTGGTTTGTGTTTCTGGTTAATGTCAAGCACGACTAACACAAAAATGATAAGTCAAATATATTAACTCTTGTATCTAATTTGATTTGTATAATTTTTTTTGTGAGTAGGGACTTGAAAAAAGAGGATTAAAATGGCTAGCCGTTTACCCGCGCTAAGCGACGGGTGCAAATAATTTCTTTCAAAAATTAGTTATAAAGACGAATAGTTTTTTTATGCATATAATGTAATCGGTCGGTTTACCGCAACGAATAGTTGTAACCCTTGCAATACATAAAGAAATAAACTTTTAGTTTCCACATGTTGGGCTTATTTATTTAGTTATTTGTATCAAATAATTTTTATTTAAATAATTTAAAATGTTATAGTTTTTTTTTCTTGCATTTTTTTTCTTTTATAACTTGTTGGGTGAGTGTCACGCTTTTTTTTTTCTTAACTTGTTGGGTGAGTGTCACGCATGTAGACTACGAATCGTGGTGGTCTTAATAGCAACACATTTTCAATTTGTTGATGATTACAATAACCAGATGCCCTAAACATTGTTATACTTAATATATTTAATCCATAAGAAATTGAAAGTAGGTACTTGGCATTGCTTAATTTAAATTGAAAACTTACAACCATTACAGACTTAATGGTTGTTTGATTCACCCATTGTTATTTTTTTTTTCATTTATATTATGTCATGTAATTATGATCGTAGTTTTAATTTCAACATTGAACATTTAGTAATAAAAAATAAAACAAAAAAAAGCAACCAAACCATTATACTGTCATAAATAAACAAAGAAACTCACTTCTTGAAATTAAGAGGTACATTATACAATTACAATAAAGATTTAAAATTACATTTGCGTAATACACGTCCCAAGAAATAGTACCAATTATCCAAAAAACATAACCTTAGCAAGAAAAAGAAATTACATGTCGCAACAAAATCTCATATGATGTTATTGAGAATACAAAAGATTTATTACCTTTAACAATATTGTATCCAAGAACCAATTTTTATGTTAGAACAGTTTATTGATGACAACACCATACTCAAGCAAATGTATAGAAGTGACTTCACATACAGAAAACCAATAGATCCTATCAGTATAACAGTCGCAACAATCAAATTTTAAATAATGACATTGCAAATGGATTTAATGTTAATAAATTGAATAAGTCACAGAAAAACAACTTACTTTTCCATCTGTCCCACTTAAGTATGTTCACACTGTTGCACCCCCCAAACACCTCAAATCCGCATTATCTTTAAGTACTTCCTTTATGAGTGTATCGTTTATATTTTATCAAGCCTGAGGAATTATCTATACATAAAAATGTGATCAGGGTTTGTTTCAAAGATAACCCTCATAGCAACCCAATAAGGTGTACAAGCTAACATATCTCATATTTTATAAAGAAACAAAAATATCAATTAACTTCTAATTGCTAGCCATGAGAAGCAAAAAATGAGGTAAACGTACACAACATCAATATGAAACAAAAGCATAACTTTATACCTTTTTTGTCTTGGCGACACCAGTATGTATCCAAACCCAAAAAAACAGGTTTAATTATAACCAGAAGGCCAAATTTTTTCCATCATCACCTAACATGACAAAAAACACATAAATATATGTGAACATTATAAGCGTTAGACTCATCAAGTTCTTACACACATACAATCTTAATATACTCAAATAACTGATGGGTTTAGAATAAAAGCTTGAAATAATATACAATAAATCATTGACATCCAGATACATACTTCGAGTAAGTAGAGAGATAGGGGTGATTGTAAAAATAGTTAAAGTATTTACCACTGATTGTTGTTGTGTCATGTGTATCAAGTCCCAAAACCTATCATATAATCACATTAAACACATATCAGAGATTCATTTTTATGCAAAACTGATGTATAATGAGCTAAAGGTTCAAAGGACCAGAATGGGAATGTCAGTTTTGTCAAAGAAATAGAATTATATGCAAAAAGGACAATACCAAACACATTAATTCATGATAACAGAGACATAAATCCTGAATATACATACAAGGATCTAAAAGCATATTACCAGAATAGGGGTGTTTGGTGTTCCTGGTCATGGAACATGGGAGATTTAGGCGGTCAATGTCACCCTAAAATCAAACCAAGAGAACGGGGAAGATTTCAACATATGTGATTTAAGTGGTCCAAATTAAGAGTGACAAAAAATAGTAACAATGACCAAAATGTCCAAAAACACCAAAATGATCATCGGAACCACAAAAATAAATCGAACTTTTGTTATTACTGCTTCATATTAGTATAAGTTTTTTTGTTCCTTTTTAACCGGTTGAAATGACCAAAAAGAACAAAAATTGGCAAATTGACTAAAGAAAGTCAAAATTGTTATTTTTTTCCCCAAAAAATTATAAATTAATGATATAAGACTTTGATATCATTATAAAGTTCTTTTTTTTTAATTCATCTAAATGACAAAAATATGGCCAAATTTACCAAAAATTCTAAAACAGTCATTTTTTGTATTTTTACTTAACCGGTGACCATTTTATGTAAATTCATATAACCATGGAAAAAATATTCGCAAATGTAATTGTAGTATACATGTGACAGCCACTTCAATCAATTGGAAGGCTCATAAAATTCTTATTTTACAAACCATTTTAAGGAAATTGGTTAAAAATATATTGATGGCAGAACTAAGTGAAAATAGGGCAGAATTCAGCGACCAACCTTATAGAAACATCATCAATCAGAGACATTTTCTCCCATTCACCATCAAGAGTGGCATTACATTGGGATTTCCAGACATAGTCAAATATCCATCAAAATTTACTGGAAAAAAAAGTTAATAACAATTTACCTACAGGTTGGAGGCTACAACCACAACCCGCCTAAGCCTCTTCATGATGTCCCCAAGAAGTTATACCCTATGAAATATTCATTTGGTTTATTAGAAAGTACAATCAAGTATTTGGCCAAGATAAATGGAGTGGTAGTACATTCTGCTCAATTTCACAACATATAAACAATATTCAAAAGGGTCACAAGGGTGTAGTAGTCATTTTCACAATCGGCAAGATATATCAGAGATGAAGTATTAGCAATTGTTCTAAACCCAGAAAGACATATCACACACTATACACATAAGAAGCTTTTACCAAATACACTATCCTTGATTAACAAAGTTACAATACATTACTCAGATGCTATCTTCTGTCAAAAAAGTTACAAGATTCTTTAAATAAAATATTTTTCATCCTAAATCTTAAAACCTAATGCTTGAATTCAACCAACTAAAAGGATCAATGATTTCGCCTACAAATCAATGAAGATCCGACATAGATTTAAGCATACTGAATACACATAAAGGTATGTTCCTGCGACAATCGAATGATTTAAACTTCAAATTGATCAATGATTACACATTCATCAAGTCTCTTTTCACTAAAATCAGATCAGGGATAGTGAAACATACCCGGAGGGAAATCAACTTGGCTTATTGTTACCCATCATCTTAAAATTCGAGCTTCGATCATATGTATTACTCAATGTTCCTCCATGAAAATCAGAGATATATAAAGAAAAAACATGTAGGTGGAATGTCGACGAAAGTAAGAATCTCATTTTCGGGTTTTGGGTTAAGAAAGGATCGATTATATGAGACGATGGTGACCAATTTAGGGTTTTCATGAAGTGATGGGTGATGGTTGAAAGGTAGATAGTGAAGCCGACAACAGAGGGGTAAAGTTGGATGATGGAGAGGGTGGTTACGGTCAAGGGGAATGGTGCAAAGGAGCTCTAGGATGTAAAAAATTCATTTCTAGCTCTTACCTTTGCCCAGATTTTTGAGAGAGAATGATGAGGGGATGGAGAAAGAAGAGCAGGCTCATAAATTTGAAGTGGGTGCTAGTGTTTTAGACTGATTTTTGTCCATTTTTATCAAATCGGAGCAACCCTGATGTGTTTATCGCTTATCCTTGTGGTGGGGGTTCGATGATGGAGACGTATACGGAGGAGGGCAGAGGATGGTGGTGGTCGTGGTGTCGGAATTGGCCGGATGTGGTAACTGGTTAAATTGGATGAAGATGCTATATAAAGTATATATGTTGACCGATTCCCTTGGCGTGAGAAATACTCGTTCAAATTTGAGCTTTAGTTGGGAGTTGAAGATAAAAAGCTATAATTAAGGACTTCAATTTTGAATCTGCGTATTACTTTCAGTTTCAGTTTTTTGAATATTGACCGGATAAAATTTATTTATTTTATAATGCATAAACTTGTTGTAAATGATACTTTAAGGGTTGTATCTCTTAAAATTCAGCAAAACATGTAATGCGTATATATATATATATATATATATATATATATATAATATATATATATATATATATATATATATATATATATATATATATATATATATATATATATATATATATTGATTTTGATGTTTAAGTTTGATAAACAATAATAAAGTATCAATCATAAATCAATATCTACGTAGTATTAAATAGTACATTTGCCTTGTGGCAGTAGTGTTTGTTTTTTCGGCAATTTAAAACATATGATAACACAAGAATACAAAAATTGCGATACAACTGTTGGTTGCAAGCACGTGGAAAAGAAAATAAAAACGAGTTAACTGTTGCCATCCCTATATATAACGAGAATACCCGCATCAGAATACATAACACAATTAAATTTGTTTACATAACACCTACCACCCAAAGGCAAACGCACATTTCGTCTATGGAAACCCTTTCTTCTCCTCTACATTCTGGTTATTCCGTTTTTGATGCCATTCGCAAGCATCTTTTGGATGACCGGGATGACGCTTCCGAGATGCTACCAGCTGTGACGAGTCCCAGCAGTGATCAGTCCTGTTTTAGTAAAGAAAATGGTCCGGAGTCTTTCAAGAAGATAATGGAACAGGAATCTGGTGAAGGTGAAGACCATACAAAATCGGAAAATGTTAAGAAAAAGAAGAAGAAGAAAACACCGGCTGCAAATGGAGACGACGATCCTGTGGAATGGACACGTTACAGAGGTGTGAGGAGGCGGCCATGGGGGAAGTTTACGGCGGAGATCAGAAATCCAGAGAGGAAAAAGGCGAGATTATGGTTGGGTACTTTTGACACGCCGGAGGAAGCTGCTGTGGCATATGACAAAGCAGCATTTCAGTTCCGTGGTAGTCGAGCCAAAGTTAACTTCCCTCTCTTGCTTTGCCAGGATGTATGGAAGCCGGAATCGTCTTCTTCCTCGTCCAGTGCAGATGTCGGAAAATGCAAGAACAAAGTTGTGGTGGATCCACCCATGGGCACCACCACCTCCGCCCTTGTACGTCATGATGACATCTATACGTCAAGCACGATAGAACTCCCAGTTTCCACGAATATTGATGTTGAAAAGGAGTCAAGGAGCGATAAGGACCTGGTTACGAAGCCTTGTAAAAGCACAGTGCATTCGCCAACCACCTCCGCCTCCGGAACTGAAGAGATGTGTGACCTTGACTCAATCTGGGATTTCCAAACATGTACATTACCACCCTTTTCACCGATGGTGTCGATTGGCGATTACACCTTGCACTCAAGCAAATCATCTTCCGGTCTGGAAGAGATGACCGACCAGTATCTGTCTTGCAATGCGGAGACGGTGGCTATGGCCACCACGAGCTCTGTAGCTGAGGAAGTGAGTTGTGACAATGACTCGTTTTGGAATATCTTACTCCAAAACACCATTGATTCTCCGACCACCATCTCCCCCTTCGGTGTGGAGGAGATGGAGATATATAGTAGTGATATTGGCAGCCCAATATGGAACCTACCAGTGCCAGCAGAGGATTTTTCGTCCAACATGATAGAGTCCTATACTATGAACATGGCCGAAGGAGCAGATGATGGAAGCAGTCAACAAGACCCATTCTGGGATTTCCAAATGCATACAATAATACAGGATGATTTATTATTTCTTGATTGCCTATAAAAAGTAATGAATTTTTAATGTTACAATAATATATTACTGCAGTTGGTACATAGTTTAAGGATGATATGTTTTAATATTGGTTACGCTCGAGTTGAAGAGGACGGCTTACTTGAAGAAATTACAATCAATGACTGATATCGTCACAGTCTACATCTACATGAAGTGGCCTACAAAAGAATTTCGTTTATGCTTGAGGTGAAGAGCACGATTACATTATTATATCATATACTACTGCAACTTACTTTAATTTTATCAGAATCAGTGATCATATATTTCTTTCGTCGACAAACTTAGACCCCCATTCTGTTTAGGATAATATGCACATGATATGATCATAATTCATAGAATACAGCTGTCCGTCACATCTATATGTTAACATTCGCTAGCTAGCTTGTAATTAATAGTTATTCAGCACTCATAACACCGTAGGAAATGAAACTTGCTGCAGCGACAGTAGTCATCGGTGGAAACTTCGTCGTGATAGCATATAAGATATCATCACATCAAGCGTTTGTGACCATTTTCAATGGTTTTAAGGGCATCTATAATGCATTGAACTCTATAGAGTTCAATGAATTGCGACATCATTTTTCTACATTCCATACAACTCAATTAATTTTTTCGTATGATGCATTCAACTCTACAAAGTTTAATAGAAAGTTACAAAAACTAATTTATAGTATGTATTTAAGCTTAGAAAACTTTCATTTTTCCCATTGAAGAGTTCAATGGGCATTGAACTCCAAATTCATTGAATGCCAACATGACATGTCACTATGATAGAGTTTCATTCATTGAATAACAACTAGATTTCTCACCTCATTCAACTATCATATTGAACTCACAATTGTGGATGTTCTGACACAAAACAAAAAGTTCCGGCTGTTCAACGACACATTATTACCGTTTTTTAACCGCTCCAAAAAAATAGACATCACTCCACCACCTAAAAACACTCTTATTTTTTTTTTACATAAAAAAAATATGAGAGAGAGAGAGAAAGAGAGAGAGATATGTTACCGGCTTAACTCACCTCCCTTATCATCATAACACATGAGACTTTATATGTTATAACACCTCAAATGGGCATCACACACACTCTACTACATTAGAGTCATACAACCTAAGACCATTTCCAATACATTGAACTCATATGACTTTAATGGATTCACATATATATATTAATATATATATATATATATATATAATATATATATATATATATATATATATATTATATATATATAGAGAGAGAGAGAGAGAAGGGATCAATATAGAACCAATTATAACTCATAAAACCATAGAATATGCTCATAACCTTAGGATTAATATATCGATAGATTAGACTAAAATGGCCTACTATATAATTATAAACTCTTGTACATTGAATCATATGCAAGTAAAGGTATAATAGGTTTTTCCATTTGATTCAAACTCCTAAAAACCTATAGAAAAAAGGATATAAAAAGGAAAGAATTTAATCCTTTAGTATTTACCCCAATGGTTCCATATTAAAACCCTACGTTCCTTCTTTTTTTTTCGAGTAAATTACTGAAATCGTCCCTATGGTTTGATTAAAATTACGTGTTTGGTCCCTAACCTTTTTTTTGCACTCGGACCATCCTTATAGTTCGGTTTTGTTACGGCTTTAGTCCTTATCAGAAGTGTAATGACATTAATACCCTTATATATTTCTTTTTTTATTTTTTGTAATTATTTATTATTTAAAAAAAAGGAAAAAAGGGACCGTCCGTCCCTTTCCCCTTTCTCTTCCAGCAGCCTGCGACACCACTACCCACTTCATCGGTGACTTGCACCACCACCCACCCATCACAAGCATCGTCGGAAAATGAATAACGGAAGCTAAAATTTGCATAAACCAAATGCAAAACCACGACTGCAACCCTACAAAACCACCACTCATCCTAACTAAAACCATCATTGCAACCCTCTAAAACACCACCACCATCCAAACCAATGCAACCCTCATTGGACAACTGATACTAGAAAATCAAAATGAGTAACAAATCATGAACAGTTGATGAAAATAAAAAAGAAAAGCAAAACTCAGAAACCAAATCAAGTTAAAACCCTTGTAACCAGAATCAAAATTAACTCATGTAACCAAAATCGAAATTGATTTCTTCAGATGAAGACTCCCCGAAACCATGATTGAAATCGATTTCTAGGCGATACTGATTTTTCTTTCAGGGTAGAGAATCTAGATAAAGACAGATCGATTTCTGGGTGACCAATGAGACGGATCGATTTAGCCATCAACCATAGTCGTCGATCGAATCGATTTTCAGCAAGAGATAGATCAGATTCAGTATGAGATGGAAAACCCTACATTCGTTTGCAGGTTTGAGATTCCATGGGTAGTCGATGGCACTGGATGTCGATGGTAATGATGTTGATCTGCATCGAAGTGTTTTTTTGTGAGAGAAGTGGATCATCGGTCTCATGGGTGGCAGAGGGGCGGCGATGGACTCTCAGGATCGTTGGTCTTGGTGGTGGAGCTCCGCTGCTCCGGTAAGAATAAACTCAGATGAGGAGGGAGAGACGAAGATGTCATGTATTAGGGTGGGGTGGGGTAATACCAATTTTTACTTTTTCTTTATATCCTAAATAACTAAAATGTTATAAAAAAAATTTAAAAATAAATATATAAGGGTAGTAAGGTCATTTTACATCTGTCAGGGACGAAAAACGCAATAAAATCATACTTTGAGGACGGTCCGAGTGCAAAAAAAATGTTAGGACCAAACACGTAATTTTAGCCAAACCATAGGGACGATTTCAGTAATTTGTTCTTTTTTTTCACACCATCGGCATATCAGCTCCTCCAACTCTACAAAATAGAACCTCCATCGCCACCTTCTTCGTTTCCCATTAGCCACCGCCACCGCCACGACCCTCCAACTTCCCATATCCATCACTGTCGTTGTCTTTCTCACTAACGATCTGCTTTGTCTCCACTCTACAACCTAAATGTTAAATCTCAGAAACCGCCATTCCGCTAAAGGAAGTAATCGGCTCCTCCTCCTCTTTGGACGTTGCCCTCGGCGCCTCCTACCATTGTCATTAAGCTTTTAGAGAATGATCCTTCGTCTCTCAACAAACGAGTTGATTCAATCATGTGAATATTTCGTTCAATTTTACTAAATTGATTTGATTGTTCAAAGTAATTTGTGGTTAACCGGTAACAACGATGTTCATAAACTTTACTCAACAATAATTTTAAGATCTTTATACTTTTAACCGACATGTTCTTAAATTATCAACAATAACAAAGCAAAGTGGTAATGTATTTTAAGCTAAAAGATCTTTATGGTAATAAGGTACTTAATATTCCAAAATAAAGGTAATATGAATTTTTTTATATAAACTTAATTTGATATTTGTCTATTAAATCATTTGGCTTTTTCCAATCTTTCATCACGTTTTTATTTGCTGGTAATCTAATAATTGTTTTACTATCTAATGGTTTGGAAACTTTAATATTCAATGGCTCTATGTTTTATAATTTTTTGATTTTAATGATAGTTATAATTTACTCGATTCAGCTATCATGTGGTTGTCAAATTGTAATCTAGTGCGGCTGTTGAAACAACTTGAGCGTCAATTTTGAAGGGAACAAAAGAAGGAAAAGAACAGATTTCAAGCAAACTCGATTGAAGGAATAGAAAGACAAGGGCATTTGATTTAATGATTTGTCATTTGATTCTTAGTTTTAATGGTTTGTCATTTGATTTTAGTTTCAATTGTTGAAATTCATACATGTTCATTAGTGAACATTTATGAATATTACCATCTTCTACATATTATCTATGTATGTACAATATTCATCTATGCATAATTGTTAATATGTTTATGTCAATCATTTCGTTCATATTCAATTTGAAAAAAACTAACTAATTTTCTCATTAACGAATATGTATGAACATGATCAATTCTTGAGTCTATGAACACATATTCATCTATGATCTTATGTTCACAAGTGAACATCATAAAATACATATAATTGATATTCATGTCTAATCGTAACTTTTATACATGTTCAGTTATGGAAATTTATGAACGTTAATATTTACCATGAACATTAATCGTTATTGTTCATCTATGAATATTTATCTCTATCAAATCATAACATGCATACATATTCCATTATGAATATTTATGAGTATTCATATATTTCCTAATATTAATCTTCATTATTCACCAGATTTTGTTCAAATAAATGCTAGAGTTTAAGAACATTAATTAATCAACCATTATTTCTTTTTTCAAAATAAAATTGTTATTTTACCTACTAACTTTACACTTCCTTAAACTTCATACAATTTAATGGATTGACATATCATTTATCATTTTCTTTTTACATATCATTATTTTGTAAATAAGTAATTACTATATATATATATATATATATATATATATATATATATATATATATATATATATATATTCCACCCACTATACAATTTTACTTACTAACTGTACACTTCCTTAAATTTCATACAATTTAATGGATTGTCATATCATTTATCATTTTCTTTTTACTTCTCGTTATTTTGTAAATAAATAATTAGCATCAAATTAAAAATTAAAAACTACAATTAAAAATAATAATAATCAAATATTAAAAAATTACAAATTTGAAATATATATATATACATATATATATATATATATATATATATATCTATATATATATATATATATATATATATATATATATGGGTGTGTGTGTGTGTGTATGTGAGAGAGAGAGAGAGAGAGAAAGAGAGTATAGAGTTTTATAAGGATTAAACTCTCCATTCTATTGAATGTCGTGTAATTAACCTGGGGATTTTGAATTTAATGGGATTCAACTCTGTAACATCCCAAAATTTACAAACAAAAATTTCATTTTAATTCATTCCAAAATGTCTAGTAACATGTCAAAACAACCAAAAGTGCATCATAATGTAATAATATCAGAGTACAAATCCCAAAAT